TTGACGGCGCTGCGTTCGCCCCTTCGCCCCGTCGTCGACGGACCCGCCGAGCAGCCCGCACGAGTACTACGTACTATCTGGGATATCCCGCGCCGAGGATCATTGGGAAGACAAAGGTCGTGCGGAAGGTGTTCTTGCCGAGGCTGCTTCTGCAGCTTCAGGAAGTCTCGGCTGAGGGGAGGTCCAAGCCGGTCCTCGAGGTCTTCCCAGCGTCGCGAATTGCGGGGCCCGCCCGCTCGGCCAAGCGGTTTCCTGGCATATCAGAGGTCAAGCGTCACCTCGGGTTTGATGATATTGTGCTGGTCAGGAGAGATGATGACGATACGAGCGGAGATGGCACGGAGAGTGACCAGGAGGACAGCATGGATTGGAGGAATCCAGTGGCCGTTTACAGCCCGTTGAAACACTCGGAAGAGGCCGAAATTGTGCTTGACGATGGCTCCGTCTGGCTCGCCAAGCCACTCACCAACGGCTGCTTCGACTTTGTGCACACCGACTCCGATGGGAAAACCACAAATGTGCGCTGGGCACGCAGGAATCCCACGCCGGCTACAACTCCGACCACCGACGCATCCGCTTCCTCGGTCGCGAGCCAGACACGTTACACATTCAGTATCATCAACCCCCTTACACGCCGCCACCCGGTCATGGCCACACTTACACCTTCGACTCTCGAGGTCCAAGACACCTACACTTCTGTTTCTACGTCTCACGCCCGACACCCCCCAGTCACTCGCGCGAACCGTTCCCAGTCCGTTACATCATCCCCATCGTTCACACGCTCACCGCCTTACTCCCCTTCCAACATCTCCTCCGTTGGTTCCACCTCTACCAACGACGGCGAGAACGACTCCGGCGTATGGATCCCTTCCTCTCCAAGTTACGACTCGCGGCGCACAACCCACCAAATTGACGAAGCAACCAAATCCCTGATCTCAGTGACCGCCCTGTGGGTCTGTCTCCGGGCCGGCTGGTCTCAGAGCTATAACTCGATCCACGCCACGGCCCACTCCGAGTCCACAGCCGCCTCTTCCTCATCCATAACCACCGCAAGCCATCGCGCCGGCCGCAGCCGTAGGAATACCTGGACCACGCGCTCCTCAACCTCAGATACCCCGCGCCCTACCGATCGACCCCTCTCTGGCGGTGGGGACCCATCCCGCGGATTCGGATGTGATGCGGTGGTAAGCAAAGGGGTCTTCAAACGGCACTCCCTCCCCACCCAATCAGCCGATACCTCGTCCGGCCTAAACAGCCACAATACCTCGGCTGCTCCGACGCCAGTGATATCCCGCGCCTCGACACCGGTGCAAAACGCCCCAGCTACCAGCCCCGCCACAACGGGGACGTCCAAGTCTCCGCCTAGACGCGCAACGAGCACAGGCACGGCATTTATCCGCGGCCGAAGGCTGGGATCCAGTTCGTTTTCTGCGATGAACAGCGCTGGTGAGGAAGAGGGCGGCGAAGTGATCGATGATGTGACGGTTATTGCGCAGGCGAGCGAAACCCCCATATCCCATGTACCACCAACAATCGCCGAAGCACCAAAGAGCACCAAGAAAGACAAAATCAAGCGCACGTCCAAGGAAAAGGAAGAGGCGGGGGGGTTATCATTGTCATTGGCTGGTCACGGAGGGGACAGTGGGAAAGCTGCTGCTGCGAAGAAAAAACTGGGGATGCGGTCGAGACTGGCGAGGTGGTTCCATAAGCTTGGACCGACGACGTCGCGCTAGGAGTGGTCGCCGCGGTGCGGGTGCGGGTTGAGTGGGGATCGTGGTGGTGGGGGGGTGGCGTGGTTGTTGTGTTGTTGATTGATGGCGATGGTGATGTTCAGTTAGGGAGAGTGGTGGTGTTTAGTTAGGGGTGTTTTTTGGGGGTTTAACGGGCCGTGCGTTGGGTTATGCATTGGGTTATTGGTTTGTGATTAGGACAGGCGTATTAGCATAGGTATAGGCTTGGTTTGGGTGCATTGCATTGCATTTGCATATGGGCACAGTAACAAGGCGACGTGTGTATGATATAGTTACTCGCTATAGATAGTGTTGGGGAGGGGGATTAGCATCTATTCTGGTATACGTTAGCTTGTTTCTGGGAAAGGATGGGGTGAGAGCGGGGAAATTGGGGCGAGGAACTGGGAATTTGAGGTGTATTGCATACGTGGTATATCCACTGTGTTTTAAGGGCTGGTTGTTTTTGAGTTGTGTGATGTCAGTGAAGATGTTTGTGTGGAGGAAGAGCAACCCCGGGAGGATAGGTAGGCACTTGCGTCAAGAGTGATATCGCCATTGCACCGAAGAAACAGGCAGACACCAAGAAGAGAGAGAAAAAGGGAATATTGCACTCCCCTGCAACCCAAGCTAACCAGCAAATACCTCGGAAACTGAAGTACGAAGTATGAGCGGGACAGGAATTGGGATTGGGTGTGTGAAAACAACTCAAAAACCATGTGGGGACGCTTCTCTGGAGGGAAAGGCCCCACTGAAATTGCGGGCCGGGCCGCTTGGCGATCTTATCTCCGAACCATGTCCGACCGACCTGTTTCCCGGCGGAATCCTGATTGGTGGGCTTGGCGTTGACTTGTTTGACTTGTTTGCACTTCGGATGAGTTGACTTTTTGGGGTTTGGTTAAGAGGCTGTGAAGATAGTTAGGGCGGGGGCGTTGGGGAAAGTGGGAGGGGAGAGTGGGAATGGATAGAGAATGGAAGGGAGGGTGCGGGAATGATGGTGGGGTTAAGTCTCTATCTCCTTTTCTTGTTGTCTTGGTTTCGGGCTCGTTTTGATGTCAACGATCGCGGTTCATCCCGCCCGGCCGCCGGAACCCCTCTCTGAGAAAACACATCCGGCCAGGACAACGTCAAAACAACGTAACGACCCAAGCCCCCGGGAAAAAAAAGAAGAAGAAAAACGTCACGAAGGGCGTGAGCATCGCAAGAAGCACCCACGATTGCCCCCGCCCTTCCCCAGTGGCCCAACGGACGTCACCGGCCCATGGCGGCCTTTGGCTAGACCCTCTCCCCCCTTTCACGGCCGGGAACTTGTTCTGCCAGGCTAGTTCTCAAAGTCTGTCGTGATGGTCATGTGTTGCAAAAGTACAGTGCGCCGGAAAAGATCCCCCCAAGACAGTGGGATATGGAACTCCAGGAGATGCATTGTGTGGCGGAGTTCCTTTTTGTCTGCGCACGGCGGCACTGGACCGAACCGGACGGGGCCAGGTTGACGGGGGGACGTCCCACGTGATGACGGCTGAAAAGCCGCCGTCCCCAAGGCTTGCTTCGAGAATTCCTAGCGTCGACGGGTTTGAGGAGGTCCATGGGAGTGAGAAGGGAGGCGTAGCTTGTCGAACTCTGCTTTCTGAAATGTGGCAGATGTAATACTTGGCCGTAAGTCGTTTTTGGTCTCCTCGGCAGTGTTGCCTGGGACTGTCCTCGCCCATCCCTTCAGTGGTCCAGAGGAGGCCTGTTTGAGGGAAGCGTCCGCGGCAGGCAAGACGTTCGGTTCCGATTTTAGTAAGGGAGTTGCTTCGGATAGGTGATTTGTCTCGTATTGGCTGGCTTTGGGCACACATTTTGTGAGTTGATACCGCTTGATTGGCGGTGGGTCGGAGGAATGCGAGCGACCGTGGTAGGGTTTTGGTGAGAAGCAAGGTGTATATATAACTGAGAGGTGACATGGATGAGGTCCTTAGGTGAGTGAATATGGCCGTTCTAGAAAAAGGCGTCCGGCGTCAGTAACGGCATCACAAGCATAACACAGCTCGAGCTCACAAACTCACCGGAGGGTACCCGACCACTCTTCCCCGAGCGATTGTATGGATTCTCCCCGGCGGAACCTCCCCCAGAGTCTGGCTTCGAGAAAAGCCCAGGACCTGGGGCCATCCTCTTTAGCGAGACTAGAGGACTGTCTCTGGGCGAATCTTGGCCTCCGGATCAAGAACCGGGAACTGCGGCCGTCGAAGAAGAACGGTCTTCCACGGAGAAGAGGAAAGGGTTTAATTTGGGTGTCTCGATTACATCGATGATGAGGGGGGTGAATGCTGATGACGGGGGGATCATAAGGTGTGGGCGTGACTGTGTGAAGCGCAGAAAAGAAAAGAAAGGAACTACGGTGTGTATGTCGCTTGTTCAGCTGGTCCAGTGGGAAAGGTGCATTTATATATCTTGCAAGGTTGCAAGAGAAAAGAGATATGCCGAGTCGAGCGAGGCTGGTTGAGGTACTTGACGTACTGGTTGCCAGTCTTGTCCAAACACGCTTGTTCTAGGCCAAAGCAACGAATTACATGGTCTGTTTGATGTTGACACTCAGGTATGCCTGATGGAACCCGTGCTCGCCGTGAAACCCATATCTCAAATGGTAAGTCATACAAACGCCTCAAAGACCAGACGCAGCCGGATGGACAGAGGCAGGAATACGAATGATTGCACAGCGGCAACAGGCAGCCCGGGTGACAGCATCTCTTTCCACAGGTCCATGTGAATGAGGGGGCGAAGTAATATTTGACCGCTTTGCCCCAATCTGCATCAATTCACAGGGGCCAGTGGATCTCAATCATCACTGGTCCGCGGGCGAGTGCATGTCGGGACAGGATAAGTAGCCGCGGTAGCTAGTTGACAGCGGTGAGTTTTGGCCGGTATGAATGGGGGGCCAAGTACATTTCGGGTGGACGACGATGCGGCCAGCCGGTTGATGCCTAACGTGGATGTTGTTTGTCTCGAGCAACCCATAAGCACTCGCCTTGTCAGATAGCAGCGTGATGTTGGTGATGTTTGTCCCTCAAATTCGAGGCCGCCATACCCGAGATTGAGAAAAGGCCTCGTAAAGGGTGCTAGCGCTCAAGTACGAAAACCAGAGAGAAGCAGAAAGACGGAGAGGGGAATAAGAGAAATAGGAGATGGATAAACCAAAAACCAAAAAAAAGCAAAAAGCTCACCACCAAGCGCTATCCCCATCCGGAGGGACAGCGGTTGGTGGTTACGAAAAGCCCACCGGGGGGACTTTCTCTTCGCTGGTCCCGGGAATCGAACCCGGGACCACTTCGATTTACGACGGCACCGGCGAAGTGCTCCTCCCAATGCCGCTACGCCAAACACGCTGTTTGGCGAATTGGGAGGAGCTGGTGACTGGGGGAGTGGGAAACTACCTTATAAAGGGTAGACTCAGTGAGGGAGGGCAGGAGCGCCGTTTGCTGGGTTCGTGCCTGGTTTATTGATGCTGCGCTTGGGTTCTTGAACATTTCAACTTTTGGCAAGTTTTAGCAGGGGACTGACCCTTTTTCTCTTCTCCTCTGATGCGGACGTGGATGAAGAATGTGGTTAGCAATTAGGTATCTAGGTATCTAAGGCAGGTATCACTCGCTAAACGCAATGGCCAGCCGTGTCTTGGTCGTGAGAACCACGAAGACTCGTTTATGTTCTTAATCTAAACGGGAGACGGCCATAATGAGCTAATATCGTCGCCTCAAAGGCACCTTGATATGTAAAGCTATACGGGACTTGTATGTCAGTGGTTCACTTCTTGTTTAGCCATAGCCCCTGATCATCTCTGATGACTGTTTATGACGTGCCGGAGTGTAAAAAGAACAAAGGATTGCATCTTGGAGAAAACGCCTTCTCAACCTAGTGTTCAAACCAGGATCTAGCGTTAAATGAAACAAAACTCCCGTAACTTGCGGCTGTGCCATCCATGCCCGAGTTACTTCGTTGGTTGGTTGGTCAGTTGGCTAGTCTGCGTGTTGGTTTGTTTGTCTTCCCATGCCAGGGCATTGTTACCTCTTCTTCGCTCGGTAACTCAATACTTGGTGGGCCTCATTGTCCGGCGAGGCCACATCTTTCGACCTTCCTAAAACCATTCCTGAAATATTCGGCTCGTGACTCAACAAACATGATTTAAATTATGCAGGTTGAGTGGCTTCTGACTTGGATGGGGCGTGGTTGGTTAAGGTTAGCCGCTTACGAAGTAGCTCTTTACTGTGTACCGTAAACAATACACCATACAATACGGCCAGGGGTTTTGTTTAAACGTCAATCACAATTCCCTGCCCGACTTTTGTCTTCACCTTTCTCCCATCTCACTGCCATATGTCAACCTCCTTCCACTCATTCCAGCTCAAGAACAAGCCCGACTGGGCCAGCCACCTCAAAATCCACCCATTTGTGATCACTTTACCCGCTTCCATTTTTTGTTTTTAGCTTTAAAAAAAAGTACCAAAAATCATGCGCCACCCCCTCCTCGTCAACGGCCAAGTTCAAGTCCTAGGCCAAACCCTCAACAGCGTAATCTACGCCGTAGCAACCGACAATCCCACTACCCATCTCGCCAAAGACAGCCCCACAGTCCTGAAAGGCGGCACCGTCTGGTACGAAGGCCGCGAAGCCCTCGGCCCGAACAAGCCAGCGGACGAAACCGACACGGTGCTACGCAAAGAAGCAGCCATGTATACCGCGCTGGGACCCCACCCGCGTATCCTCCGGTTTGTGGCGCTTGAAGAGGCTGTTCTTCCGGGCGGGGGGATCGACGATCCTAGCAGCGTTGGTGAGGGTGAGGGTGAGGTGAGGAAGAAGAAAGCGTGGGCGTTAAGGTTGGAGAGGGCGCCGGTGGGGGGAGTGTAAGGGAACGGATTCGGGGGACGGTTGTTTTGAAGCAACTGCCGGAGCCGGCGCCGGCGCCGGATGTGTTGACCCGGCTGGCCCTGGCGGCGCAGTTTGCTGAGGGCGTGGCGCATATCCATGCGTGTGGGATCATATGGGGGGATTTGTCGACGCGAAATGCGCTGTGGTTTGACGGTAGTGATGACGGTGGTAGTGGCCGTGACCGTGGTGGAATCGTTACCAACGGGCCGCTGAAACTCTGCGATTTCGCCGATTCCGAGTTCTTCGCGGACTACTCAACCGAGTGGTACGATTGCGGATCGAGGTACTGCCGGCCGGGGTCCACGCGGCCGCACCGGCAGCAGCCGCCGGGACAGACGCTGGAGCGGGAGATCTCGGCGCTGGGGAGCGCGGTGTACGAGATAGTGGAGTGGAAGATACCCTATGGGTCGGAGCGGGATGTCACCGACGACGAGGATGTTGGCCGCGTTGGCGAAAGGTCTGCGGCCGGTGATTAGTGAGGATAATCCGGCGGCGGAGGTGATAAGGAAGTGTTGGACGACTGGGGGTTATCGGGATGCGCAAGAGGTGGCGGTCGGTTTGTGGGCTCTTCACCATCGGTTGTCTGAAGCGGAGGAATAGAACTGGGTTGAAGAGATACGGATATGAGCATAGAAATATAAGTCCTGACAAAATATAGTATATACGCATCAGCATATGTATGAACTTGAAACCCAAAATATGTACAATGAACCATCATCCCCCTTTGCTTCTCATCTCCCACGCCCCTTAATCAACCCTAACCCTCATTTACTCCTTTCGAGTTCATCCCCTATTTTCTACATTTGACCGGAGCCGTAGTGGTCGGCACCTGGCTAGGCCCAACAGTCGACGTTGACACCCCAGTCGTCGCCGAAGGGACCACCTTGGTAGACAGCGTCGTCGGTGTGCTCCCACCATCACCACCACCACCAATCGAGACCTGAGCGACAAACACACCCCGCCCGTTGGTACCAACATACACCTGTCCGGCCACATTCCCACTCCCCGCCAACTTATTCGACCCGATGGCGCCGAACCCTTGCTCACCTTGGACATCCACCCAGGTGGCACCGTTATCGGCACTGCCGTACAGCTTAGCACCCTCGGCACCAGAGCCAAACACATAGACGTTCCACGCGTCCTCGCCCTCACCCTTGCCCAGCGCGATCTGCTCGCTGGAGGTGATGCTGCTGTCGGCCTGGGTGAAAGTCGCGCCGAAATCAGTGCTGCGGAACACCCCCGCATCGGTGCTGACCCAGACCTCGCCGGCGACGGCCGGGTGCGCGGCGATGTCCTTGACAGTCTTGACGCCACTGGGGAAGGCGGAGGCGACCTCGGTGAAGGTGGCGCCGGTGTCGGAGCTGACGTAGAAGGAGGCGGCCGAGCCGGCGTAGAAGATGGTGTTGTTGCGGCGGTCGGCGGCGATGGCGGCGGCTGAGGGGAGGGATTTGACGGCTGCGAAGGTGGCTTGGTCGGCGGAGCGGAGCACGCCGGAGGTGCCCGAGGACCAGACGAGGGTGTCGCCGTCGGCGGAGTAGGCGATGGTGCCGCTGTTGGCTGAGGTGTCGGCGCCCGGGTGGACGGCCCAGGTGACACCGCCGTCTTCGGAGATGGCTACTTGGGGGGTGCCGGCGGTGTTGCCGACGCGGACGACGTTGGCTGGCTTGTTGCCGGCGTAGTCTGTGTTGTGTTGTGTTAGCTCGTGTCCGTTTCGACTTGAAGAAGGAAGAGCAAGGGAGACAGAGGAGAGCGAGAGAGAAGAGAGAACGGCTACTCACCAACATCGGTCGAGGAAGTCCAGCTAGGGTTCATCCAAGGAGTCTGGGGCGAAGTGCCAAGATCGGTATCAGCCTCAAAAGTGAAGCCAGAGTCATCGCCCACAGCAGCCAGCAGCTCAGAACCGCCAACAGGCGAAGCCAGACCGAGCACGGCAAACTCCTCGATTCCCACGGCCAGCGACGAGATGCTGACGTTGCGGTCGGCCGCGTCCCATTTGGTCAGGTCGTGGCCGCCGTAGAGAGTCAGGCCGGTGCCGTAGAGCCAGTGGTCGCTGTCCGTCGGGTCGATCTCGAGCGACTCGATCATCCAGCCGAGCCGCTTGGTGTCCTGCGAGATGAAGCCCGCGTTGATCCAAGGCGCGTTGTCGGTCTGCACAGTGTTAGTACCTCCTCTTCCGTAAGTCTAGATAAATATAACACAAAGAACACATACGTGCAGCCCGTAGTACCAGTTCTGCTCCGGGTAGGCGGCCCACTCCCAGATCTTCGACCAGGTTGCGCCCGAGTCGGTGGACCGGTACAGCTGGGCGTCGGGCCACCACGAGTTCAGTGTCGCGACAATCAAGGTGCCCGGCTTTTGCAAGTCCACGCTGAGACCGCCGAACCCGAAGAAAAGGTCTGAGCCCGTCGCGGGGGTGATGTCTGTCCAGTTGCCCGCGGCAATGTCGTAGCGCCAGACAGCACCTAGCGTGCCGTCGTACGGGCCGAGGCCGTCGCTGTAGCTAATGTATAGCGCCTTCTCGTCCGGCTGGAGGCGGCCCTTGTGCGGGAAGAAGGTCGGGGGCTGGTCGGCCACGGGGGTCCAGGTCGCACCGGCATCCTCCGTCACGTAGAGCGACGCGGTCTTGTTGTCGGCCGTCCCGACGAAGATGCGGGAGGTCGCGCCGTCGAGGAGGTCCGAGGTCGAATCGAAGGTGACAAACGTCAGCCCGATGATGTCGCTGTTGAGGCCGGTGGTGTCGGCCGGGTCGGGGACGTAGGTGCCCACGTTCTCGAACGACTCGACCTGGGCCCAGGTCTTGCCGCCGTCGGCGCTCTTCCACAGGCCTTTGCCGCTGCGGGCGCCAAAGAAGAGGATGTCGGAGTTGGCCGGGTCTACAGCGAGTCGTTCGCCCGCACCACGGCCGGGCATGTTCCCGCCGACCTTGAACGGCAGCTCAGCGGACTCCCATGTGGCGCCCTGGTCGGAGCTGCGGATGATGGCGCCGTTGTTCGGGTCCCACGAGTTGGTGTACATGCCCGTGGCCGCGTAGACCTTGTCGGGATCCTGGGGGTCGAGCGCGACGGCGTCAATGCCCCAGTTGCCCCTGTTCTCTTGTGTAAGTGACCGTACTACTCATTCCCTTCCTTACAGTCAAGCCGAATCTCACCATTTCTCGTTCGTGGCAAGGCTGTCCGTGATGGGCGTCCACGAGTCATCCTTGTTCAGCCGGTAGAGACCGCCGATATCCGTCCGGGCATAGGCCACACCTGAAGCAGTCGGGTGGAAGATGATGCCTGGAACAAAACCACCACCGCCTCCAATGTTGACGTTCTTCCACGGGTTGGCGGCCGAGGCCACGGCCGCGAGAAGGAGCTGGAGCGCCGAGGATCCCTTCATGGTTGGAGTCCTCGAGTCGAGTCCGGGGGAAGTGAAGTCGAGGTGACAGTTTCACGTGTCAACCACAAAAGCGTTCACTCGCAAA